TTGGCAGCATTCCGTGCACGGCAGGTAGTGGCCCAGGTCTGACCCTCCACTTGCAGGTAAGACCTAAGCACCCATCCCCAGCCTCATAGCCATGGCCTGTGCAGCTGTCCAGAGAGAAGCCACAATCCTATTACCAGCTGCATCATCAGGAGCTGGGAACAGATTAGGGCCTGGGAAATTAGAGCAGGCCACATGGTCCAGGTATTCAGTCCTCAGAAGCAACCGTTCCTCTTGAATAGGGCAGGGGACCAAACACTGATGAGAGGAAAAAGAAGTGCATTACCCCCCACTTCATTCCAGAAGAAAGTGGAAAGAAGGCAGTAAGGTATCAGTCACCGCCAACTTTAGTAAGTGTTCCCTGGGCCATTCTAGAAGAGACGTGTTGCTGTATTAGCATGTTTCTTGCTAACACCAGTCCCTGGGAGTCTGTGCTGACTTGATCTTGTGCAAATCTTGAGCCCATAGCTGCTGTGAATTCATGTGAATTCAACATGCACGTGCAGCCATGTCCTGCATTTCACAGCATTCCTCCCCTTCCTCCGGCTCCTACGGTTCTTTTTGCTCCTCCTCCCAGATGGTCCCTGAGCCTTGGGGGATTGATATAAATGTCCCATTTAGGGAGGAACATTCAACAGTCACTTATTCTCAGCACTTTGACTAGTTACGCATTGATTGCTGCCCACTACAAAGAGAAGCTTCTTTGACTAACATTGGGAGAAGTATTAGTCTACAGGTACAAACAAATATTTAGAGGGCAGTTTGACATCTGTTCAGCAAAACAGTTGGGCTCCCCTGACCTTCCGACCTATGACCTCCCCAGTCATAGGCTTTTGACCAAGTTTACAGCACCAGGGCCTATTATTTTTAAAAGATGACAAAGCCCCAGAAATCTCCATTCAAAATTCAACTCTGCTACTTGCTAGCTGTGTGACCCTGGATAAGCCATTTTCATCTCACTCTACCTCAGTCTCCCTACCCATAAAACAGCTAATCCTTCCTGAGAGAATATGCTGGAGAGCAGAGGTGAATCCTAGCATGCTGAATAGCAGTGGCTGTTGGAATCAGCAGCACACAGCATCTTGGAGGGAAGTTTCCTTTCTGTTCTTGTGGCCTAGGCTTGTGGCCTAGCCTGTCCTGTAAGCCAGAGGGAATTAACCAGCTTGTGTCTCAGGGCTCTGTAATCTCATTAGGGCCAGTCAGGCCAGTCAGACAGCAGCAGGGAGCAGGCTGTGGTGGAGGTGGGGATGTGACAGGTGTGGGGTGCACACAGGGACTGCCTCCTCCTGACAAGTGGAAGACAGAGAGGCTAGGGTAGGGAGCTGCAGGTAGGGGTAGAGGAAGCTGGGGCACAGGCCCTGAAGCCATAGACAGTGAGTGAGGAAACAGTTGGATTCTGGGTCCCAACTTCATCATCTGTGACCTCATCCTCTCTGGGCCTCTGTCTTGTTTTTTTCCAAAGAGAAAGGAATGAACCAGCATGCATACGGCAGCCTCCTAAAGCCCCTGCTCCTGGGAGGTGCTCAGTGGTAGAGAGGAGGTAGGGGAGAAGGTACCCATGAGTTGGGGAGAGTGTGCCCATGAGTCGAGAAGAGGGTACCCATGAGTCTGAGAAAATTTTTTCTTTTTCTTTTTCTTTTTTTGAGGTGGTCTCTCCCTGTGGCCCTAGCTGGTTGGGAGCTCACTATGTAAATAAGGCTGGCCTCAGTCTCACAGAGATTCGCCTGCCTCTGCCTCCTGAGTACTAGGACTAAAGGCATGCACACCTAGTTCTTCTCTGAATCTTAAAGCCAAAAGTTCCTTGACATACCTTCAACTCTAATAAATGCCTCATTTTCCAATTACCTAGTTGATTGTTGCTTAGGAAACACTGACCGGACCCTGGGGTTCAGGTTTCAGCTGAGGTCCAGGCCTGGCCATTAGTTGTGCTACAAAGTGCACAGGACTTGCATTCTACTCCAGCTCTAAGACTGACACCCAGAATATTCCCCACAACTGCCGCTGATACCATCCCCAACACTCTGGTCCTCCTGCCACTGCCTTTCTGCTTTCCACACTCTAGGTCTCTTCTTGGACCAGCACTGTGTGCCACCTCTTTTAGGGACAACAGTGTGTCAGCCGGTCTCTGGCCTCAGAGATCCTGTAAGGAAAGGAGCTTTTTCATACTGAAGTATGAGTGACTGATAATGAGCTTACTAAGGATGTCTGTGAATTAAATCTAAAGGCTCCTGGATTAGAGCCCTTAAATAGCTCATAATGGCTAACAGAATCAGTTGTCTTTCACAATATGACTAGATATGCAAAATCGTTTCCATAATCAAGCAATTTTAGGAAATGCCAGTGAAAAGTTAATCAGGTTCTTCACTCCAGTGTAGCTCACACTGGAGTTAAAATCCCAGCTGTGAGGCTGGGGATGTGTGCTTGCCTAGCATGCATAAGGCCTTAGGTTGGATCCTCAACACTGCATAAACCAGGTGTGGTTGTGCACACGTGTAGTAACAGCACTTGGAAGGTTGAGGTAGGAGGATCAGAAAATTAAGATCGTCAGTTACTTAAGGAGTTAGAAGTCAGCCTGGGTTGAATGAGCTCCAACTGTCCCAAATCATCATCATCACCATCACCATAACCATCATCACCATCACCATCATCACCATCATCACCATCATCACCGTCACCATCACCATCATCACCATCATTATCATCATCCTCCTAGTTTTATTTCACTGCTGTGTGAACTTGGGCAATTTTCTTAACCTCGCTATAAAGTGGGGAGTATATAACAGTGCCCAGGTGACAGACTTGTGATATAGATTGCATACAGTAATGCATACAAGGTGCTTAGGGTACCGTGGCACCCCAGGTTTCCTAGGCAACCGTGTTTCAGTTTGAGAGCCTTTACTATAGCCAGGTACATTGGGGGAAGTCTCCAAGGTTGGTAGTGACTTACAGCCTTGCTATGGGGAGCCCAGCATTCCAAGGTTCTGGGGCTCAGAGGGCTGGGACACTCAGGAGAAGCCGCAGCCTCTAGGAGGGAGAGCATGCCTTGGAGTGCTGCCGTCCCTCACCACTGCAGCACATCCCTCCTCCTGCCTGCACTGGAGCTGCTGTATGGAAGGCATCCTTCCTCAGCCTCTCACCATTGCTCATGCTGCCTCCTCTGCCTAGAGTGTTCTTCACTATCGCCGCAGTCCCAGGTCACATGCCCCTGTTCCTCGTCACCTTCCCTGAGTACCTTTACTTACTTTCCTAACTTGGGCCAGTGATGAGCTCCGGTTCCTTGGCAAGTGGCTCTGACAAGGGCATAATAACCCATGATACCCTGTCATCTGAAAACACCTCTGCGGAGGGGCCCCACAACTCGAGGATGTGTTGTGCTTGATGTCTAGGGGGAGCCCAAGGAGCAAGGGCAGCAGGAAGCTGCTTCCTGGGATACTCCAGTTGCAGATGTTAAGATGTTGGGACAGAGAAAATCAACCACGCTGCCAGCGTGAGCCCCAGGCTGGATCCCAGGGCAACATAGCTCTGCCAAGGGTATGCTGGGTGGCCTTGCTGCTAGGGGGTAGACAGGTTTCCCAGGGGAGGGGCTGCTTAGTTGGGGACCCTGGTGAGCCAGAGAGGGGTGTTGGTCTAGGGACTGCAAGAATAGAGCCTGTTCTGGAAGAAGGGTGGGGCAGAGGAGGCATAGCTGGGGGCCGGCAGCTTCAGGGTCTGGGGCTGGCCCTTCCACCAGGTGTCAAGGCACATCAGCGGAGCTGTCAGCAGGGTTGGGGTGATAACAGCTCCGGGTTTGCTGGCAGCTCTCCAGAGACATACCAGAGGCTCTTGCCTCTCCCCAGCACGTCTCTCCAGCTTGCCAGGGAGCAAGCCCTTCCGGGAAGGTTGCTATGGGCAGCCAATCCGGCCAACGTGGATTCCTGCTCTCCTTAGTCACTGGGGATCCGGCTGACTCTCTGAAGGCCCGAACCTTCCCACACTTGCCTCAGGAGGTGGAGAAAAGTGACTCAGCAGGTTCATGTTGCACTTCCCTTCTCTTTTCTGCCATTTCTGTCTAACCCTGTCACTTAGGGAAGTCAGGCCTGAGCCCCTGTGACACCAGCAGCTGCTCTTTGCTGAGCACCTACTACGTGCCAGGGCCTGCAGGCACTCGTAACGCCACACAGGGACCTACCAGGAAGGGCTGTGCCTCAGAGGGGCCAGTGAGCCAGCTGGTCCTGAAATCCCTCACTGGACCAGACAAGGGATTGGGCCACAGGCTCAAGGTACTAGTTCTAAATCTGTGCAGTCCAATCCAGTAGCACTAATCTCAATATTTAAATGATGTAAAAAATTTTAAAGTAGAAAATTTAGTTGCTCAGTCAAGCTAGTCATAGTTCAAGAGCTTAGTAACTACATAGGACTAATGGCCATGATACTGCACTGTACAGTCAGACACTTCTGTGGTCTCAGAGAGTTCTGTTGCACTTTCTACAGTGGCATTAAGCTAAATTCAAATCTGAGCTCCTCGTGAATGCTGTGTGGTGTTTCCCAAGTCAGTGAGCCTCTCTGAGCCTTTTTTCTGCATCTATAAGAGCCTGTTTTGTTGTTGTTGCTGTTTTGTTTGTAGCATTGATCATACTGCCTCTCATTGGAGTACGTTAGTTGAAACAAAGGATAAAAGTAAAACTCCTGACAAGTTCAAATGTAGCTTTAATGTCAGTTCGGACTCTTGTTAGCAAGTCACAGGAAATTAGAGCAATCCAGCAGAGCTGAAAAGGAAATTTACATGCAGGAAGAGACCAGAATTTGTGGGGCCCAGTGCCAGGTACACATGTGCAGACACAGTCCAATGTGTCCGCTCACCAAACCAAGAAAAGGAACTGGTAGCACTGGAACAGCTTGCTTCCATGGCGATTCTATTTGCTATCTAATGTCATTATTTTATCTTGTTCTTCTTTGTGTTGTTTGTTTTGAAATAGGGTCTCTTGTAACCCAGGCTACCCTGGAACTTGCAGTCCTGCATAAAA